AAAGCTGTACCTAAACCCACCTCAATTCAGAAAAGTGCCTAAGCCTGTAGCTCTGTGGCAGTCAAACCAGACAGGTGCCTCCTTAAGGACTGGGCTAACGGAGGCACCAAGATGGCCAGAAGGGATGGGGAAGGTTATGTGCGTAATTTCTATTGCAACTCAGCACCTGATGCTGCATTACTGAGGCCTGAATCCTCTCCAGCTGTGAATTTGCTTGGACGTTGATTGCAAATATGGGAACAGGAGTTGAGTCCGCATGTCTGGATGGTGGTGGGGACAAGGTGCTCTTGTGGGTGCTGCATCGATGGAGTTGACACTTTTGGGGACACCAGCTAAGCATAGTAGCTGTGACCAGTGCTTTATATGGTAAGACCTGGTTTGGGCTTCTGATTTTTCTTTTTATTTTCAGCAAGTTTTAGCATGCACTTAAACTTAGCTGTTTCCTTTACCTCTGCTAGGCTATCGATAGCCTGAAATTTAGGTATATCCAATTAATATTTGTGGTTTCAGAGTTCCTCAAGGAATCCACAATACAAATAGCGTGATATTTAGTGTGAATATGAATAGGGGCTATTTAAATAGACTAAATCTGCATCCTAACGATTATTTGACGTTTTTCCTGTTCTTCCTGAATTTCTGCTCCTCTGTGAAGCGCAGAGGTCCCCTTGCTGCCCTAGGCTTGCCCACGTCGCCGTTTTGGGTCCCCGAGGTGCTGCTGATGCTCCAGTGCCGCCTGCCGGCCCCGGCGCCGATTCGGGCTGAGCTCGTGCGCTGCCTCCTTGGGTTTTAGGTGCTTGCATTAGGAAAGCAACAGCACCTACGTGTGGCCAGCATGCACTAGACGTGTGCAAGGGAGCTGCAAGAGATCTGTGGGTGCACAGGGGTGTCAAGTCCTTACGTCCGTTGTGCAGCTGCCTGTGCTTTGTTGCGGGTGTTGGTGGATGTGAGGTGAGTGCCAGGGGCTGCACTGCTGCCGTGTTGCTCTTTCTGGTGCTGTGTGGCTCAGTGCCTGCCCCTTGTCCCCTCTAATTTCTGACGGTACTGCTTAGCCTGCCTTCTCTGTAATTGCCAGCTATATCGAAATTCGATGGGCAATATAGAAATGAGCAGGCAGGGGGGGCTTGGCTGCAGCCAGACTCGGTTATATGGGGGGTTCTGGTCTTTTGCTCTTGTTCCGCGTGAATCCGCTGGCCTCGTGCTTTCCTCTGGCATCGCTCTGGGCTGGGATTGAGGAGGTTTATCCCACAGCAGCTATTCTGAGCAGCGACGTTGCAGTTAAGCCCCTCAAGCCTCCGGGCTGACCCGCTGGGTCACAGCTCCCGTCGCGGTGCCGCGGACCTGCCGGCGGCTGCTCCTGGCATCGTCCCTAACCTGCTTCAGTGCAAGTGGCTTGAGCTGCTCAGCCGAACAAGTGCTGACCCGGGTTAGGGGAACGGGATATTGCGGTTTCTTGCAGAGGGATTTTGCCCCTCTGCCCCATGTGCCCTAGCTCCCTATGAAGCTTCCAGGACATCTGCGACCCCTTCCCTCCAGGGCCTCTCCCCAGGACCTTCACTCCAAGCTCAGTTGTGCTCTGGTTGCAGGGGGCAGTTGGCTGCTGGGGTGTTTGTTTGTTTGTTCCTTTGAGGTTTTTAACCCTCAAACTTGGAGTCCGCTCTGAAGCCCATCACTTCTTTGGTCTCTGTAATTTAGATGCTACTGGTTTCTGTTCTCATCCCAAGCTCCCTGGCAGCCCTTAGTCTCTTGTGTCCAGCCGGGGATGCTCTTCCTCACACGAGACTTGCTTTTTAGATTAAGTTTTAAATGATGGAGTAGTGGGTAAATCGTGGACTTCAGAGAATGCCCTTTTGAAGGTGTTTTCTCCAAGGGCAGCTGTGTTACCCGCTGCCTCTGCTCTCTGACATGCAGCCGTTCACCAGGCGGATCCGAAGCAACCGAAACCACAAATGGGTCCCATGGACACCCGGTCTCATTGGCACCGCTAGAGCGATTCTGAGCGAGCACCCAGCAGTGTCTAAGGATGAGGAAAGCGGAATTTGCTGAGTTTTCCCTACCCGCCAAAGTGTCTGCATCCCTTCCTGGCTCCGAGGAAGTTTGTGCCACATTGCTGCAGAGCCAAAAGTGCTGCCACCACCCCGCTGGTGAAAATGCACGGCAGCAATCGGGAGTTGTATCCATGAGGAAAATGTGTGCGCGAGGAGGTGGCAAGGACTGTCCCGGGCTGGGACACGGGACGGGCAAGAGGAAGAGGTGGCCAGGGAAGGAGTTTGCTCCCGGCACCAGGGAAGGCTGCCAGGTCGCTGGAGTGGGACTCTAAAAGCCATAAAAAGACTGGGAATTTGTGTAGAGGGGGGTTCCTGCAGCACCGACGGCTCCTGCACCGTGGTGGCAGGACGGTGGTGACAGACCTTGGTGCTCCTCAGGGCAGGGAGGGTGAACAGGGGCGTTTCAGGCTGCTCCACGTGTGGGTCGGAGCAGAAAAGCTGGCATCAGCTCTGAGGCCCTTCAATTTAGATGCATTGATAGGCTTTATTATAGATGCCTATCTAAATTAAACAATTAAAATGTCATGTACTTCCCAATTGCTATGATAAGCAGAAATATGAAACCAAACTATCAGTGTGGAGGACTTTGGAGGACACAGATTATGTTTTGGAAAACTTACTGATAAAACAAAGAGAGGGAGAGAAAAAATTCTGTAAATGCAGTGCTGAGTTTTCAGACTCTAGGCTGCTTTTTGACGGCTACTCTAAATGGCTTAAGCTAACATAAAATCCCCAAAGCATAATCTAAAATAAGGGTGTCCTACCACAGATCTCTACCAATATGGGGAATATATTGAATTTATTATTTTTGGTACTGAATTTTTTACGTAGTAAACTATAGATGTAACTTATGCATAAACCCCGTTGCTTTCCAATTGCACTTGTTGCTTTCAAGTCAGTTTCTGCAGACTTTAGTGCTTCCTCCTCGCAGCTAGTGTCACACTGGGGATTCTTCCTTCGTGACGCCGGTCGCTCTGAGCAGCCGAGGCGCCGGGAGGGCAGCGAGCGCCTCAGCCTGACCCACGGGCTGCTCCCGCGCCCTGGCCCTGTGACATATTTCTCACTTGCAGCTTAGAGGTGCTGGGTCGTCTCCTCGGTGCCCCGCAAAGCCCCTTTCACCCACGCGGGCAGCGCCAGGAGCTGGGCCAGCCTAATCTTGTCCTAAAGCCACCCTCGCCGGAACGCTGACCGAGATGGTGAGAGCGTCCCTGCCCTTTGCTCCTGGGCTGGCTTGGACATTGGCGCTGTGTTTTGGAGCCCTTCCTAGCGTGGTCTTCCAAGGAAACCGCAGGCTCCGTGCACGGCAGCTCCATGCGCTGCCTGTCAGCGCGGTGGCACCTTGGCCACGAGCCCTGCAAGGCTTGGTGGCCAGGCTGCGCTCGGCAGGGACGAGCTGCGTCATCATCCCCAGCTTTTTTTAGCAAGCAGCGAGTTCACCTGGGATAAAGAAAAGGGTCTTGCTGGGGCTGCAGGGACTTGCAGTTGTGCTGCACCCTCTCATGCACGGGAGACCCGTCCTGGCCAGGACGGAGAGGCCTGCGGGCCTGGGGCTGCTTCGGCTCTGCTGTTTGCAGAAGGGCCCACGGGGCAGCCCGTGGTGTCCCGGGAATGTCAGCACAGCGGGCATGACAAGAGCATTTAATCCATCTAAAGCACCTCTTACTGCACCAAGGCAGTGCAGAGGCCTTAGCCAAGATGGGAGTCGGGCTTGCTATATCCCATAAAATGTGCCCTGCAAATGACTTACCCCTATGTTATCTCCATGCGCATTTACTGCTTACACAGCTGATATCTGCTCCTTCTGCCCCGAGGACTCGGTTCTGAGCCCAAACTCCCTGGAGAAGGTGGAAAGGCACCGTGTCCTTTGAGGAGACCTGGCGTTTGGGACCTGCTGGAGCGAGGGGAGAGCTGCCAGGGGAGCATTCAAATTTAGCTTCTGCCACTGTAGGCAATGCGGCATTAAAAGAAGGAGATTAAGTTATTAAACTGAGCTGCTTTAATCACGCAGTTCGGGGAAATCCATTGCTACAGGAGAGCGGAGGATTAATGTATTTTTACCGCAAAGCCAATACATCTCTTCTGACCAGTTAGCAGCTGCTCACTCGCGCATATGAAACTTCATTCTCTGGGTGTGCGGGCGGTGGTATGGGATCAGATGGAGTTTTATTTGGAGATTGACCCCGTTACCCTGAATCTCATCATTCTGGTGGCGAGCTACGTCATCTTGCTGCTGGTTTTCCTCATCTCCTGCGTGCTCTATGACTGCCGGGGGAAGGATCCCAGCAAGGAATACGCTCCCGAGATCCCCGCGGAGACGCAGCCTCCCATCCGGCTGGTGGTGATGCAGCAGGGTGCCCCCGGCACCCGCTGGGCCAAGGGAATCGTCTCTGCCTACGGAAGCCCCTCCGACCTGCCGGGGAAAAGGACTACGGCCGTGTGAGGGACCCGGCGCTCGGCCCGGCCGGCCGCGGGACGTCGCGCTGCCAGGTAGGCAGGGACGCTGGCCGGGCCCGTGAGACAGGGAATCCCACAGGGGCTGCGCCCAGGGGTGCTGAACACTGCCCGTGGTGCCCACTGAGCGCGGGCAGCACTTCCATGGCCTGGTGCTCGCACGAGCGCCGCGCTCGGTCCTCCAGAGACTGATCCGTGCTGATAGAGCTGGCGGACTCTGCCCTCAAACGTGGAGCTGGAAGCGGCCGAGGGCATTTCGCTCCCAATAGCAGGAAATGCCCCAGCCCTGGAAAACAGAGTGAAGTGTGCGAGCGCGGGGCTGCCCTTGTGGAAGCCCTGTCTGCAGGGACGGCACCGAGGGCGCGAGCGCGGGCAGCTCCTGAGCTGCCCTTGGCCTGAGCTTTGCTCAGCACCACGAAACCAGCACGAGCAGCCCCGCGGCTCCGTGATCCGCATGGTGCCGTTGAAGGTCCATATCCTTCGCGGGGGTCCACATGGAACAACATGTACCTGGGAAGCGGCAGTGCGGCCGGTCCGGCCCAGCGGAGCCGTGTGGGCTCTGGAGGGGCTGCCGGCTCCCACCAGAGCAACGGGGCTTCTCGCGCTAAAACCCGGCAGTGGCGGAAGATGCAGATAAAAATTATGTTATTTAAAGTGTATTCAGGGTTGGGTGACCTGGAGAGGGCCAGATGGTAAATGTGCTGTGTCCCCAGTCCTGCCCTCGGCTTGTGGAGCATCCTTAGGTGACTCGCCATCGATCCATGGTGTGTCGCCATGTGTCTCTTACCCATAGGAATTTGCTTCTGGGCCCTGAGATCCCTCTCTCTTTTTGGCCATTTGTACATTTATAGTGGGGATTTTTACCCGAAAGGCAGCCAGGTCCAAAGGCACCAGCAGATTCCAACAGGACAAGACAAATGTGCTCCAACAGCAGCTGATCACCAGAGCCAGCGGAGCAAAGGAGTCAGTGAAGGTGCCCCGGGGAATCCGCGGGAGCCGTGGAGCAGGGGGAGCCTTTAGAGCCCTCCTTTTCCATGAGCTACAGCAGCTCCTCGAGGGCTCTGCCCGGGTGCAGCGCTGGGGCTGGAGGGACCTGGTGGGAGCATTTCCTGCAGGAAGCAGGAATTCAGCCTGCGCTGGCTATTCTTCAGTTGGCTTTAGTGCCCTTTAAAAGCCATACATTACTGTGTCCTGTAAAGCCCTTTTTAAAGGGTTTCCACAGAACAAAAAATAGATTAAAAAAGAAAAACAGATTTCTAGATTTCACTAACATTAATTCAAATCAAATGCATTATTAAATGCACTATTTAAATAAAATATATCTTCAGTCTGAGCTTGTTCCACTGTAAATACACTGTCTAAGTCTTCAGATTTTAAAAAATCCCTAATAAGCCACTACATATGAATAGAGGATTAGTCCAGACAGACTAACCCACATTTGCAGAGGAGCATTCCTGGACATGCAATGAGCCTTTTGAATCTGGAAAGGGATAAATCATCTCTTTTTTTCCCCCTTTTTTCTTTCTTTTTTTTATTGGCACATTCTTCCTGCAGTGCAAATGCTGGTGTTCTGAGTTTAGCAGCACAGTAGCAGTGTGTCCAAGGCAAACCCCATGACTGTAAGAGTAGATTAAAGTCTGCTTTTTTTTCTGAGAACCGCATTACAATATTGGCTATCCTGCTTGCATCATCTTGGCATCTCAGTGGGAACGCCGAGAAGTGTATTTAATAAGAAATACTTTTCTCCCAGTCATGCTTTTGGGGTCCTTACTGCTTCTCACGCCTTCTTCCAGATAATCTAAAGCTGTCAGCCCGAGTCTCGTGAGATATCTTTTATTTCTTATAAAACAAAGCAGTAACTTGCATCTTCTGGTCTAAATTGGCTTATTCTTAGCTCAGACCAATATCTGGTGACTTGTTGGAGCACCCTGGGTGCTGAAGGCAGGTGGGTTGCTGACGCCTAATAACGTGTTTTGTTTTGGCCGATGCAAGAAGCAGCAAAGTACTGAGAAACAGCAGCTAGAGCCTCTGCCCCACAGGCAGATCCTCTGTAATCAGAGCGAGATTGGGTCCAACCTACAGGGAGGACCCCAAGTACTCTGCCCCGTCCTGCACTAACTG